CTGGAACTTAACCAGCTGGTTTAAATTCTGGCTCTGCCATTTATCAGCTGTGTGGCTCGGTTAATTTTCCTCTTAGTTTTCTCATCTTGAAAGTAGGGATAATAATGGTACCTACCTCATGGTGGTTTGAAGGTTAAATGAATTCTAATAAGTAAGATCCCTAGAACATTCCTGGCATGGCAAGAACTCAGTCAGTGCTGTTGTTCTTACTCACCTATGATGGGATGTGTCCTTTGCCTTTGATGTACTTAACAGTCCAGTGAGGAGAGAGACACTAAATAGTTTCAGTCATTCAATATTTCAACTACTATTGAGTACCTTCCATATGGCAGTCACTGTAGTAGGTCCTGGAAATAAAGCAGCAAATAAGCAAACATACCCTTGCTCTCGTGAAGCTTATTTTTAGTAGGTAAGACAGTTAAAATAATTTCTGTAAAATGTCAAAAGTGTTAAAATAGAGAAAATGCAAGGTGCCATGGATACATCTAGCAGGAGGACCTAACTTATTCTGGGAAGTATGGGACAGTAAGGAAAACAATATTATGACAAATGCTCTGTGGAAGTCCTCTTTGGGGTTAGGGGTATCACCGAGTAGAAAGTTCCTGAGTCAGCTTTGGGGAGTCAGGGAAGGCTTCTCATTGGTGGAAACACACTGGAGCTGAGTCTGGTGGCAAAGATGGAGAGAAGCGGCAGTGGGGCAGGGAAAAAGTATTCCTGGCAGGTGGAATGGTTTGTCGGATGTCACGAAGGCATGTCAAAGCATTACATAGTCCTTGGATTTCAGTAGTTCTGTATTGTTGGGACAATGTGTGGGGCAAACAGGGATGGGCAATGGTATATAAGGGGAGAGCAAGAGGAGTTTAGACTCATCTGCAGATCCGAGGGAATTGCTCTACCAAACAGTTAGGACTTAATCCTGAAGGCAGTTGGGTGTTACTGAAGTGTTTCAAACAGAGAAGAAATTTTATTAATTTTATTGATTATTTTTATTATTTTTAAAAAGATTTATTTATTTGAGAGAGAGAGAGGGAGAGTGCAAGCCAGGGGGAGGGAAGGGCAGAGGGAGAGGGAGAGCAAATCCCCAAGCAGACGCCATGCTGAGCATGGAGTGCTCAGGATTCCAGGACCCAGAGATCATGACCTGAGCCGAAATCAAGAGTCAGCCATTTAACTGACTGAGCCACCCAGGTGCCCAGTTTTTATTTTTTTAGAGAGAGAGCATGTGCGTGAGCAGGGGGTTGTGGGCACTAGGAGAGGGGGGAAGAGAGAGAATGTTAAGCAGGCTCCATGCCCAGTGCAGAGCCTCATGCAGGGCTTGATCTCATGACCCTGAGATCATGACCTGAGCCAAAATCAAAAGTTGACGCTTAACTGACTGAGCCACCGAGGAGCCCCACATTTTTATTTTTAAAGAGTATTCCTTTATCTCTATGGAAAATAGACTGGATGCAGGCAAGATCGGAGATAGGGAGATTAGCAGTTGCCCAGGCAAGAAATAATGAGAAGCTGAACCAAGGTAGCGGCAGTGGAAATGGAGAGAAAGGGTCAGATAGAAAAGATAGAAGATCAAACTGGCATGCTTTAGCCAGCAACTAAGTGGAGGGGTGAGGGGAGAGGGATTAAGTGAATGCTTGGGTATATGGTAATGCCACTCGGATTATTATGGGAGAGAAGTCTGTCAACTTGGATTTCCCCTACATGGAAACATCCTGTGTTTATAATATCAAACATGAATGTCACTTCAGCAAACCTCAAAAATTCTTATATGCACTTTCCTTCAGGCGGTACAGTGACTGTATTCACTTGTGAGACAGAGCAGTTATTTGGGTTTTCAGGATTTCATAGCTAAGTAGTGAGAAGAATTCAAGTCAGATCTCCTGTCTTCTGGTCTGGTGTTCTGAGGGAGGTTAGCTGTTCTCAATTGATTGTAGGAGTTTGACAATATTTTTAAGAGCTGTAGGGAGCACCTTTCATAAACGGTTGAGTTGAGGCAAACATAGGGGATACGGTTATAACTTGTATAATAATATAAGGCTTTTGAATAAAGAAAAATCCTTCAGAAGAGAATGGCTGGCATAGTAAAAGATGCTGTTCTTGTGTTCTGTGATTAGTCTTTAGTGCCCTCTATTGACTGCTTAGTCTAAAACAATGTTGATTCTGGAAAACAATGTTCCTCGCAGTGTTATGTACCAAAACAGGAAGAATTAGAGGTATTAAAATTGCGATAAAAGGTGATAAAAACTGATGGGGACTTTAAAAAAAATCTGCATGGGGTCTCAAAGTTGGGTAGAGGTCTTAAGAAATATCGCCATAACATTTTGTTTGCTGCAACATGGGTATGCTATTGTGGGCTAGATTTTCAGAAAACGGACCTTCCTGATGACGAGTAGCCTAAATCAGGCTGGTCTTTCAGCATTTTTTATGCAGCAAAGCCTCAAGAATAGCAGTTGCCCCAGTAGGCAGCAGCAGCTGCTCGTTTTCCATAGGGCGGGTACTACATGTGATGAGCATGGAAGGAAATGACCGTTCCTCATTAAAGCAACTTCGTTCAGCTACATGGGAAATCACACAGAAAAGTCATCACAGAAAATGAAATAGTGATTATACATAATGGGGCATCTTCAGAAGTGGATGGTTTGTCTTTTTTTTTTAATGACAAAGGAGCTGCCCTTTAGTTCTCTCTTCCAGGAAAAGGGGTGGTAGATTAGACTTAGTGTTGAGAATAACTAGAATAACTAGAGGTCTAAGCCTGAATAAATTTTAGTAAGCAGGCACACCTGGTATAGTTTAAGGTCTAAAGAAGACCACTTTGTATAAATGAATGCTCACCGTGACTTTTCTATAATAAGGGAAATCTGTTAATCGTTCTGTTTCTGGTATTGCCCGGTTAATCTTTCTTTGAGATGTTTCTAATTATCATTTCAGCTGGTTGCGTTTTGAAAGCCTATTCACCTAATTGGGGTAAAAAATAGTGCTTTTTGATTTGGTGTTATATGAAACTGCAGAGATTGCTTGCATCATGCTGGTGAAATCATTTATTTGCTTTTGGTATATTTTACTGTTGCAATTTTCTCTAAGAAAGCTTAGTAATTATTAATATGAAGTAATGCTAGTTGCTTTCTGTGCATTTCATGAAGGGAATATGCTATTATGTAGTTTCCCTTCCCCCCTAATAAAAAAGCCTTTCATCACAAACTGACATCCTAAATGAAGGACATAATTGTACAGCTTATTTATTAGTGTGTCAAACTTAAAATGTAATGGTTTCATATTTCAGAATGAAAAGTGTGTTGTGATTCATGGTTGCCGGTGACAAAATAGACAGCTCTTTTACATCTGCACTGATTGCCTGCTGATACACCACTGCACTTTTTTTGTTGTTCTTTTCTCTTCCTATGCAATAGCTCCCTCTACTTGAAAATATTGGTGTAATTATAGTTTAACACTATGTACTTTATTAGTGAGTACTCGTGACTATTTTTACTTTCCATACTCTTCATAAATATGAAGTGTTATGCATCAGAGCATGCTAGAGATTTACCAAGAATCTCTTGACCTTGGAACAGAAAAGCAAGGTTAAGGAAAGTAAGATAAGTTATGTTTGAAGGCATTTTTCAAGGAATTAGCTGTGTAGCTTTTGTTGATTTACATATATTTGGTTAAAATTCCATATAGTACTTGAAAATGAACCTTGATGTCTGAAACACAGAGGTCTATGAAAAATGGATCAGAAAACTTCAAAAGAACCATCAGCCACTTCACACTGACAGCCTGGAACTTGGCAAATTCTCACTTTGTTAATTCCAAAGTCTTCAGATTCTAACACAAAACATGACCTCTCATTTGTCAGGAAGGGTTCAACAGTAGTAGAATCTCATGTTACTACACCTTCCCTTTATGGAACAGTATGTGCATAATGAAACAATAGGAACAAAATAAACAAAAACAAAGTGTTTCACCTGGGATTTGATGATTTTTTTCTCTCTCCCTTACTAAGTTTGATGTTCAGTAATTGTACCATTATTTTAATGTGGAGCAAGTGACAGAACATGGTGGTCAAGAGGAAGGACTTGGGAGCCAGACTGGTTGGGTTTGAATCCTAAGCTCTGCCACTTACCAGATGGGTAATCTTGGCAAGTTTCCTTAACTCTCTGAGCCTTAGTTCCCTCATCTGTAGAAACATAGACAAGTGTTAGAGTAAAGCACTTAAAATAGAGTCTGACATATAGTACTATATATCAGTGTCCAATAAAATAAATAATGGGCTATAAATTGGTTCTTATTAACCACATGTATTTATTGAATGTCAACATTATCTTTAGGGCTGCTTAATAAAAAGAAAAATGGGGCCCTCCCAGTGGATGAGAGTTATTTACACACTGGTTTTGTTCATGAAATGACACTGGTTTTCTTGTATCAGAATAGTTCTCACCGTGGGGTCCCTATACTATGTTACAATTTATATATTATCAGTTACACCTATGTTATTTTAAAACTACTTTTTTCATGCAGTGGAATATTCCGTGGATTCCATATCTTTTTTGAACTTCCTTCATTTGGCAGGAGGATTTTATACTGGTGGAATACATAAAAAATGAAGTATCATTTACCATAGTACACTTCTCTTAGAGCCTACATATTGCCCAAGAGCAGACTTGTCTTTGGTCTGTAGTATGACTATGCTTGAGGATGTCAGAGAATCTTGCTCAACTGTCACCAGACTTTTTGTGGCCCAACAAAATACCAGTCACCAAAAGTTCAAAGAAGAAATGTGTAGGTATTGAACACTCAGACATGTAACTGAAATTGTTAGATGATGTTTCCACCTTGATATAAGCTGATATTTGTGTGGATGTATAGAGTGATACTGTAATAGATTTTGACGTCTTTGGAAGAATATCACGAGAATGCTGGATACTTAATGTAAATAGTCAAATGAGATTCACGAGTATATGTGTTTTCGGAAACTGACTTATCTTTCTTCTTGGCTTGATCCTTAGGACCCTTTAGATCCCACAAGATCAGTGATTGTGATCCGTTCCCTGGTGGCACATGGTGTCGCAGAAAGAGGGGGAGAGCTGTTACCTGGAGACCGCCTGGTCTCAGTTAATGAATACTGTTTGGAAAACACCACACTTGCTGAAGCTGTGGAAGTGTTGAAAGCTGTGCCACCAGGCATCGTACGCCTTGGCATCTGTAAGCCTTTGGTGGTAAGTGTTCAGTTTTGTTAATATAGGACGTGATAATAGTGTAATACTTAAGAACATGGATTTGGTTTCGAATTCCTCTTCATGGCTTACTCTGTGTACTAATTCAAGTTTCTTGTGTCCTCGACTTAAAAAATGAGAAACATAATGTCTATCTCCTAAGATTCTGGGGGCTAAAGATTATATTCATAAAGTGCTTGCACATTATTGTATAAATAGGAGCTGCTAACATTGCTAGTCCTTTTATCACTTTTACTACTATTTTTATCTTCATGATATTAGCACAGATCTGTATGTTCTCATCACATTCCTTATGATGTAAATTAAAATAAGTCTATGCATTTTAACTTTCACTTGGGAATGATGTGGAAATGGCATGATAAGCTGAAATCCACTTAACTATATTGTTTTAACCATAGGCAATGAGATTTTAATACGCTTTTCTGCCCATCAAAGTGCCTCGTAACCCCTAGCATCTAGAACTCTATGTGGTCAGATCATCTTGAAGTTCTCTTACTGCTTAATCTTATGTCAGATTAGTGCTTATGACTAAGGGCCATATTACAATTAGGGTGCTTTTGAGGTTCCCCAGTGCAACAGAATATTCGACGGTAATTTGCAAGCAGTATGAAGATATTATTGAGTGCTTACTGTATGTATTTTAAAACCTTTACATGTATTAACTAACTTAAACCTCCTGGCAACTTGAAGAGGTTACAGATTACAGATGAGCCCATCAGGACACAGAGAATTGAGCAACTTATCCGCAGTGATGTAGCTAGTAAGGGCAGAGTTGGGATATAAACTCAGGTGGCTTCAGACCACAGTGCTATATATTTAACTTGTTGCAAGTTTAGTTTGCAGGCAGCCTGTCTGGAAATAGGTAGCTGGTCTTAGTAAAGTGTTAAGCTGGATTTCAAGAAACCTGGACTCCGTTTCTAGCTTTCCTATGAGTCAGACCAGTGGGTTTCAACAAAAAGATATGTACTATACATAAGGATCACCTGGGAGATGGTTAAAATGCAGTTTTGGAGGTCCTACTCTCAGAGATTCTCATCTTGTCATTGGGATGTGCTATTTAGGGATCTGCCTCTTCAGTGAATCACCCGTGTAATTCTGATGCAGAATTTCACACTTTGAGAAACATTATCTTAGTAATCTGATCATAGGTATACCACTTCCCTTCTCTGAGCCTATTTTTTCATCTCTGAAAAGATCGAACAAGACTAGAGGAGTCCTAAAGTCTTTCTTAACTCTAAGACTCTATCATTCTATTAATATGCTATATGACTATGTTAACATACTACATGTGTCCTTATGTATAGGTAAATATAGATAAGTGTGTTCACTTATAGATATATAGGTATAGATATATAGAGATAGATCCTGTATTACACATAGTATTTATGCATTGGGGAACCTCAACATGGCCTTCATGAATTCCCCATAAAGATGCCAGTATATTATACTATCAGACACTCTAAATATTTCAAAATAGAGTATAGCACATAGCTAATCAAGTTCTTGACTTTGTATTCTATATTTGGTGTGTGGGTGTTGCCATAGCCAACGTGAGACACCAGGAGATGCTGGTTTGATTTCTGGGCAAATTAAGTTGTGGGGAGGAACTTGATATATATATATTTTAAGATTTTTTTATTTATTTGCGAGAGAGAGAATGAGAGACAGAGAGCATGGGAGGGAGGAGGGTCAGAGGGAGAAGCAGACTCCCTGCTGAGCAGGGAGCCTGATGTGGGACTTGAACCCAGGACTCCAGGATCATGACCTGAGCCGAAGGCAGTCGCTTAACCAACTGAGCCACCCAGACGCCCGGAACTTGATATTTTTATGGGGATCTCATCTTCTTGGGTATTTTGTTTGTTGGCGGGGGAGGAGGGTGTTGCTGTCTAGATTTTCCCCGATGATTACTTGCCTGATTATTCGGGCTGCCAGAGGAAATCCCAAACTGTTTTATGTCCTGGAGGACTTAAATAGCATGACTTTACTCTGAAGCAGTTTAGGGATGTGTCAGGCGGTGTAAAAAAACAGAGCTTAGTTACTGGCTGGGTGTGGATTCCTGTGCTATTTCTGGCAGAGGGAGAGCTACAGAGACTTCCGGCTATCAGCGCCACATTCTGAGGGGGTTTTGGAACGTAGTAATCCTGAGGCGGTCCTCTGCCTAGGCTTCTCTTCGTGAGTAGAAGGCTTCCAGGATACTTGGGAGTGGGAAGCCACAAAAGGGATGAAGACAAAGGTCACTTTCAGGACTGTAAAAAATTCTTAGTGGAGGGACACCTGGGTGGCTCAGTCAGTTAAGCTTTGGCCTTCGGCTCAGGTCATGATCTCCGGGTCCTGAGATCGAGTTCTGCATGGGGCTTCCTGCTCAGCAGGGAGTCTTGCTTCTTTCTCTCTTCCTCTGCCCCTCCCCACTGCTCATTCTCTCTCTCTCTCTCAAATAAATAAAATCATTAAGAAAAAATTCTTAGTGGAATTACTACTAATTCCTTCTTTAACATCTGGGTGCCTTTAGCAAAACTGTTGGCTCAGGAACTGTAAAGAGTGAGGCATTGATCTTCGTTAAGGTCTGTCTCTCTGGTGGTCCACTTGGTGGCCACTTAACCTTATCATGTAATGTTTACTGAGCATTCATTCAGGCCTCTGCAGAAGTGGGGTAGAGAGTGTGAAGAAGGTGGCCCAAAATCAGCTGGGGCCAGAAAGCCTGTGGAATATATAAAAGGAGAACACGATTTTTTTATTAAGTCATGTATTATATAGATATACATTGTCTATGTAATGTGTTTCATATTATATATTTTCATGTTAACCATGAATGGGGCTTATCTTCTCTTTTCTACAAATTCATCTCAGACGTACCAGATCCAAAAAATGAATGAACTGACTTCAGTTAAAAACTGCATTGTGTCTTCAGAGCTAATGGGTCAGAGCCGGCAGTGGAATGCTTGAGCCAGGCAGCTGGGGGGTTTTGCTCAGTTCCGTGATCTGCAAGGCTGTGTGTCCTTGGGCCAGTTATTTAACCTCGTCAGCCCCCACTTCCTTGTCTGTATGTGGGGACTGCATGGCGTGGTAGTTGAGATCCCAGGCCCTAGAGCCAGTTATGTAACTTTTTACGCCTCTGTAAACTAGTGTTAATAAGAGTACCTACCTCTTAGAATGTATATTAATATATTAATAAATACACTAAATTGAATATTTAAAATGCTTAAACCTATGCCTGGCACATAGTGTCATAAATACGTATGTGTTGCCATTATTTTTATATAAATATATAAATTCCTGACTTGGATTGCTGTGAAGATTAAGCTGAGACAAAGCATATGAAGTGTTTACCCTCGATTGTGATTTAGAGCTAGAACTTCATAAATAGTAGCTGTGTTCTGACCTAGGACTGCTATTGAGCTGGTAAACACTAGGATGGCTGAACCTTTTCTGATGGCAAGTGACTGCACTGTACCTTGGTTAAATATTTTGAATATTACCCTGTGTATACTGATACATTTCCTTTTTTAGAAAAGATTTTATTTATTTATTAGAGCGAGAGCATGAGTTGGGGGAGGGGCGGAGGAGGGAGAGAATCTCAAGCCGACTCTGCACCAAGCACAGAGCCCGACGTGGGGCTTGATCCCACACCCCTGAGATCATGACCTGAGCCAAAACCAAGAGTTGGACGCTCAACCAAATCAGCCACCCAGGTGCCCCTATACTGATATTTCTTAATATTAAGGCCCTTTTTGGGGATGTTTTTTAATTTAAGGAATACTTTCTTTTCCCCACATAATATGTCTCTCTTCAGTCAGATCTTCTTTCACAGTTTTCTCCTTAAATATGCTGTACAGTCTTTTTTAGTTTAATGAGGTAATTTACTGGTTCCTCCCCCCTTTGTGAATAATGTCTTATTTTCAAAGTAGCTATTGCTGAAGTAGAGGTAATGATACTGACTTGGTAATTTGATCTTATATCTGACAAATGTGTGAAACTCTAGTTTGTGCTCCTGTTGAATTTTCTTTTTTAAAAAAATTATCTACCTGTCTGTCTGTCTACCTACCTACCTACCTACCTACCTACCTACCTACTTATCTATCTATCTATCTATCTATCTATCTATCTATCTATCTATCTATCTATCTATCTATCTATCTATCTATCTTTCATTATGGTAATCCCCTTCACCTATTTCCTCCATCCCTCCCACCCTGGTAACCATCAATTTGTTCTCTATAGTTAAGAGTCTGTTTCCAGGCACCTGGGTGGCTCAGTCGATTAAGCAGCTGCCTTTGGCTCCAGTCATGATCCCAGGGTTCTGGGATCGAGTTCTGCATCCAGCTCCATGCTCAGCGGGGAGCCTGCTTCTCCCTCTACCTGCCACTCCCCCTGCTTGTGCTCACGCTCTCTCTCTCTGTCAAATAAATAAATAAAATCTTAAAAAAAAAAAAAAGTCTATTTCTTGGTTTGTCTCTCTTTTTTTCCTTTGCTTATTTGTTTTGTTTCTTAAATTCCACATATGAGTGAGATCATATAGTATTTGCCTTTCTCTGACTTACTACACTTAGCATTATACTCTCTAGCTCCATCCATGTTGCAAAGGCAAGATTTCATTGTTTTTTTTTATGGCTGAATAATATCCATTGTCTATATATACAACATATCTTCCTTATCCATTCATCTATTGATGGACATTTGGGCAGCTTGCTTCCAAATTTGGCTATTGTAAATAATGTTACAATAAACATAAGTGTGCATATATCTTTTCAAATTAGTGTTTTCATATTCTTTGAGTAAATACCCAGTAGTGGAATTTACTAATCATATGGTATTTCTATTTTTAACTTTTTGGGGACCCTCCATACTGTTTTTCATAGTGGCTGCACCAGTTTGCATTCCCACCAACAGTGTACAAGGGTTCCTTTTTCTGCACATCCTCACCAGCACTTGTTTCTTGTGCTTTTGATTTTAGCTATTCTGACAGGTGTGAGGTGATAATCTCATTGTAGCTTTGATTTGCATTTCCCTGATGTTGAGTGATGATGAACATCTTTTCATGTCTGCTGGCATCTGTGGTCTTCTGCCCATTTTTTTATTGGATTGTTTAATTGGATTTTTTTTGAGGGGGGGTGTTGTATCAATTCTTTATGTATTTTGGATACTAACCCTCTACTGGATATGTCATTTGTAAATATCTTCTCCTGTTCTGTAGGTGGCTTTTAGTTTTGTTGATTGTTTCTTTTGCTGTGCACAAACTTTTTATTTTGATGTAGCCCTGATAGTTTTATTTCCCTTGCCTCAGGAAACACATCTAGAAAAATGTTGCTACAACTGATGTCAGATTATTGCCTGTGCTCTCTTCAAGAATTTTTATGGTTTCAGGTCTCACATTTAGGTCTTTAATCCATTTTGAGTTTATTTTTGTGTATGATGAAAGAAAATGGTCCAGTTTCATTCTTTTGCAAGTAGTTTTAGGAATACTTAAAAAGGAAAAAAATGTTTGAGAAGCTTTGACTCAAATATGGCTTTCTTTTTAATAAAGAAAAGTTTGTTCTAATAAAACAATTTGCATAAATTTTATTGTGTCCTTGCACTTAATGGGAAGATGAGAATTAATCTGAAGAGAGTTCAAAACTAAGGTATTTTCTTGATTATAAAAGTGCTTCCTGGGGTGCCTGGGTGGCTCAGTCGTTAAGCGTCTGCCTTCAGCTCAGGTCATGATCTCCAGGTCCTGGGATCAGTCCCACATCGGGCTCCCTGCTCCGCGGGAAGCCTGCTTCTCCCTCTCCCACTCCCCCTGCTTGTGTTCCCTCTCTCCCTGTGTCTTTGTCAAATAAATAAATAAAATCTTAAAAAAAAAAAAAAAAGTGCTTCCCATGGTAGCCAGAGGTGGGGAGAGGTGGGTAATATGGGTCAAGGTCATCAAAAGGTACAAACTTCCAGTCATAAGATAAATAAGTCCTGGGGATATAATGTACACCATGATGACTCTAGTTAATGAGACCATATTGTATATTTGAAAGTTTTAGATATAACTAAATTTATTATGATTTTGCGGTATATACATACATCTAATTATTATGTTGTACACCTAATATGTATAATGTTATATGTCAGTTATATCTCAATAAAAGATAGCTTCATGGTTGACAAAAACATTTCATTTGTGCTAAAAAAATAAATGAATAAACAAAATAAAAATTGTTTCCAGGGGTGCCTGGGTGTCTCAGTCAGTTGAGCATCAGCCTTTGGCACAGTCATGATCCCAGGGTCCTGGAAATGAGCCCCACAGGCTCCCTACTCAGCGGGGAATCTGCTCCTCCCTCTCCCATTGCCCCTCCCCCCCAACTTGTGCTGTTGCTGTCTCACGTGCTCCCTCTCTCTCTCTCTCTCTCTCAAATAAATAAGATCTTTAAAAAAAAAATAAAAATTGTTTCTGTTTTCAGGAAGATGATAAAGAGGACGAAAGTCATTATATTTTACATTCAAACAATAATGAAGACGAGACTGAACTTTCAGGAACAATTCATGATACAAATTCATCTTTAATACTTGAAGCACCCAAGGTATTTAGTAAATTGATTTCCTATTTGAATGGTTTGCTGTGAGCTAACATTTCCATAAAGACAAAAGCTTGTTCCCACTCTCAGCTAAAGAGATACAAATAAAATGATCCTCTTCTCTTTCTTTTATTTATTTTAAGATTTTATTTATTTATTTGACGGAGAGAGACAGTGAGGGAGGGAACACAAGCAGGAGGAGAGGGAGAAGCAGGCTTCCCGCCAAGCAGGGAGCCCGATGTGGGGCTCGATCCCAGGACCCCGGGATCACGACCTGAGCTGAAGGCAGACGCTTAACGACTGAGCCACCCAGGCACCCCTATTTTTTTTTTAAACGAACGGTTTTCCCTGTTGTATCTCAGTGGCTTCATAAATGACATAGGCCAGATCTAAGGCATTTTCAAAGCACAACCATACCTTATTTTATACCACAGATACAGTCTTAAAATCTTGAGGGTAGAACACAATGTTCAAAAATAGACATGCATTTAAAATGCTGTAGAAAACAGAGCTATACCAAAGGACTTCTTACTGAATACTTTCTAAAGAAAAGAGTTATTTAGCCAAACCCTTCTTTACGCTTTAATTTTAGAAAGGCTATTTTGAAGCTTTTCCTTTTTTATTCTGAAAATGAATTGTGCTTATTTTGCTCTTTGCAGGTAGAGTATGGTATTGCTTTACCTGATAACAACCATCTGGTGATATTCTTTGCATAATTTATTGACAGTGCCTCGAGCTGATATTTATTTCTGTACTATACATTGTGGGGGTTTTCTTAGTGTAGACATTCTTTGTTAAAATTTCATAAGTGTATGACATCTTCAAATATACCGTATAAACACACCTGTAAAAAAATTAACTAGCTTGCAGTATTTGATACACTATAGTAATTTAAAGGTGGGAAGTAGTAGGTTCATTTCATGAATTTGCATTTGGTAATACTAATGAATAGGTGTCCAAGTAGGAAATATCACTGATCTCTCAAGAGGAATTGGGCCTCGTTGTGCTCAGCACTGTTGAGGATCCCCAGGGTTAGGTTAGAGGCTCAGCAAATCCATACATTCCTCAGGCAATACCTAGGAACTCAGCAAAGTTTCTGCACATGTATGACTAGTTTCAGTTGTGTGTACTTCTAATTAGTGAAATATCAGTTAATTAAAAAGCATACTATATTGGTTCCTTTTTGCCATGTAATTTCAGTACAGTTGAAAAAAATATATTTCTGTTACAGGGCATATTATAAAATAGTCGTACTCAAAGTAGTTGAGACATACGTCCCATATCTTTAGAGACTGCTTTTTGATAATTTCAAGAGCCATAATTTCTTTGGAGTTTTACATAAGCTTGAAAATATCTTTGCTTTCTTAGGTAATAGTATGATGTGTGTCTATATTTATGTACTACTTCTGTATGAGATGCATGAGCTAAATGTTCAGTGCAGCAGGTTAACAAAATTCCTATTTCTGATTGAGAATTTTCAGGTGGTTAATGTATAACAACCCTTTTGGAATAGTCATTCACCTTGCCAAGGGCAGATTTCTGCCTCTTACTGTTTGTCCCTTTCTTTGCTTTGAGGGTTATGTGGGAGTGAGCTTTTATTTCTCCTTTGTAATGGAGAGCTGTTCAAGTAACTGTGCCTTGGCGTGGAATGTAGTCATTGAGGTTATGTCAGGGGTTAACTCCCCAGGTAATGCGTAGAGTGCCACTTCAAGGCAGGTGGGGTTAAAATTATTTTTGCAACTTTTATTTACAGGAATTTAGAGATGAACCCTATTATAAAGAGGAGCTTGTAGATGAGCCGTTCCTCGATTTGGGAAAGGCTTTTCAGTCCCAACAGAAAGAGAGAGACAATAGCAAGGAGGCCTGGGAGATGCAAGAATTTCTGACTCCTAGATTGCAGGAGATGGGGGAAGAAAGAGAGATGCTTGTTGATGAAGAATATGAGCTATATCAAGATCACTTTCCGTCCATGGACTTGTATCCCTCATCACACCTTCAAGAGGCTGCTCCTGTTTCCTCTGTGAAGGAACTTCACTTTGGCACTCAGTGGTTACAGGACAACGAACCACCTGAGCTTCAAGAAGCAAGATCCATGAGGAGTATGTATTCCCAGGAGACGCAGCAGTGTAGCTATAGCGCTGGAAACATGGTAAGGGGTGAGAACAGCTCTTCCACATCCCCCTCTTCTCTCCCCCACCCTCCCAACCCCTGTGCCTAAGTCATGTAACTTTCAAAAGAACAAAATGTAATGGAAAATACGGTTTTTGTAATTAATCATTTTTCCAAGATGTACCGTATAGTGTAATGCTGTAAGGATAAGCTCATCTCTCCTATATTATACAACTACTAGTAAGAGTCCATAGCTGTGGTTGCCTTTTATAGTGGTTTATAATGGGTTTTTGCCTTGTTTTTTTTTAATGATGTATTTCTCCAGATTACCCATTTCAAAGAAGAGTTCTTTTGCCATTTGTGGTTTTTTTATTCCCTCAGAGAGACACGACTCTATATTTCTCATATTGTGTATTTGTATTTATCAGGGAAAATCAAGGCAAAATTGACTCAAGATACATTGTTTATGTCTTGTTTATCCACACTGTTCTCTGTTATATATGATACTAAATAGAAGGTCACTGAACTCTTAAAAATTATCTTTACATTTGTGTTACTGCCTATTTTCAACTGGGCAGGAAAGCATTATATTTAAATAGATTTGTCCTTGCTATAGATCACCAATAAACTTTATTTTTATAAAATTAGGGTTAACTGGTCACCAATTGGAATCTTTCATTAGGGACATTTTTAATGTTTTTGTTTGTTCATTTCATGCCCCAGATCAACTTCCAGGGAAATGAAAATTATTATATAGAGGTTTTTTGTTTTTTGTTTTAAGAGAGGGAGAGAGGGGGTATAGGGACAGAGGGAAAAAGGGAGAGAGAATCTTAAGCAGGGTCCACGCCCAGTGCAGAGCCCCACATGGAGCTTGATCTCACGACCCTGAGATCATGACCTGAACTGAAATCAAGACTCAGAAGCTTAACCAACTGAGTCATCTAGGCGCTCCTAGGGATATTTTTTTACATGGCCACTTAGCAGTATGTTTAGATACAGCACAGTACTCCTCTCACAGAGATCAGCAACTGTCTTGCAGTGCTGTGGGGAGTGTGCTTTTCTTTACTCTCTCTCAGAAGGCCCATAGGGCTAGTTTCTTTGCTCTCTCCTTCCTCAGACCTATCCTTCTTTTCCCCCTTTTTTGCAAATGCTTTGGGTCCTTCTTCTATGCAAGGTGCTATACAAGCTGTATTTATAGAATGCAAGAGGATTAGCAGACTCTGGAAAGTCTACCAGAAAACAGATGTTTTGGGATTATGTGAATAATGCCTGGATATGGGCAGAGGTGACAAAGAATCACCTGGTGTGTTGCCATTGACATTGGTGCTTTCTTTCCTTGCCAGTCCCGTTCCTGTATCTGTAAGTACTCTAACCCAAACAGAATATTCAGTTATATGGAGCAAATTCTAATCACAGATTAGTGAATATTCATAAATACTCTTTGTTGTGGCTTTCTTCTATAAAAAGAAAATTTTCTATTTACCTAAATATAAGGCAACCTGAAATAGAGGCCCATTTTAGTTTATAAACTTTCAGGGTTCTAGACTAAATAGTCGCAGTTACATTCACAGTATTTTATAAACATTCATATTTTAAAAACTGCCAAATGTTAAATTTTTTGCCTATTCTCACATTTAATGACATAATTTTATTCAGAGTCTTTCAATGCGTATTTATGTCCATAAATACATTATCACTAGAATCACCTTTCTGTCATTTAATACAGTTTTCCAAATATATCATCTTAATTTTCATATAGGTTGTTTGGGATACAGTGATTTTTGAATCCATGCTATCAGTCAGAATTTTATCCTGATTTCAAGTACTCATTTGCATAACAATAGGCTTTAAAAGAATTCCTTTTGTAAGCGCATAATGATTATCTTCACAATATAACCACTTACTCTGTTGTTTGTTAAACTGCTATTTAAAAAGCTTGTTTATGACAACATTCAGTGCTCACAATTTGAAAGACATGCATCCTAATTACTAAATCTGTGTTAAATTTCCTAGCTTCCTTCTTTTTATTTTCTATTTCTGATTCTGTGAGGTGACCTATAAGCTCCCTAAAATGGCATTGATTAAACTTGTTGCCGCCCCAGGGGTGCCTGGGTGGCTTAGTCGATTAAATGTCCAACTCTTGGTTTTGGCTCAGGTCATGATCTCAGAGTTGTGAGATCGAGCCCCACATGGGGCTCTGTGTCAGGAGCCCACTTGGGATTCTTTCTCTCTCCCTCTGCTCCTCCCCTCCCCTCCCCTCCAACTTGCACACTCTCTCTTTAAAAAAATAATTTCAGCCCTAATGTGTCTTGTGTGCACAATATTTTATTTTCTTTAAATAATTAAATCTTATTGTTTTGGGCATTCTTTTCCTGAACTCCACAATGATGGCAGTGTAAGGTAGGAAAAATTTTTCCTCTACTCTCATTGGTTCTCTGGCTGGGGCCTTGGAAATTAAGCTGATGAAAGATTAACAAAAGAAAAACAATTTATTAACAAGTGTGGCATGCACTCATGCAGTAGAAAGTCAGTGATGAATAACTCAAAGGGGTGGTTATACTTGGGCTCATATAGCTTCTTAACAAAGAACAATAAATTTATTGAGAAGTGACAAGACAAAGGAAAAAGGGTTTAGGTTTTAGGGTCAGAGCTGTAGGAAGGTAAATATAAGGGGGAAATTGATGGAAGATAAGGGTTGTTGTAGTTAGGTTTGTTATGTATGTTCCTCTTGCTGCCATCTCTGAGCTGAAAAAAAATCTAGATTCATCTCTGATGATGAACAGTCAGGGGAAGATAGCTTTTCAGTATGTGCTGTTTCACATTTGTCTTCCTCCCCGAGTAATCCTTATGCCAAAGTGGCATATTTTTGATAGAATGGTCTAATTCTCTATAACAGTTACACGCATAAGATCAGGATGGGCTTGAATCTTTATTTGCCCTCCTCTCAGAAAGGTACTCATGGGATGAAAATTTATTATCTAATATTAGAAGCTTTGGGTAGATTGTTAAAACATTTGAATACTTTACAAGATATGTAATTCTCAGTACTCCTTTAGAGAGTGCCCTCCAGAAGGGTAGAGTAACAGTATCACTTCTGTCTTCATTATAATATCCATTTTGGGCTACAGACATAGCTATATTTATGGAGTGCACATATTACCCAACTACTTAGATTTACCTTTCTCTACTACTCTCCATTTTATTTTTATTATTATTTTTTAAAGATTTTATTTATTTATTTGACAGAGAGAGACACAGCGAGAGAGGGAACACAAGCAGGGGGAGTGGGAGAGGGAGAAGCAGGCTCCCCGCAGAGCAGGGAGCCTGATGCGGGACTCGATCCCAGGACCCTGGGATCATGACCTGAGCTGAAGGCAGTCGCTTAACCAACTGAGCCACCCAGGCGCCCGACTACTCTCCATTTTAATTGAAGGATAAAACCATCAAGATTTATAGATCTGGTTCTTTATTTTTACTTGTAGTAAAATACACATTGCAGTAGCCCTTTCCATTCCCCTCCCCCCACCCCTCCCCCCAATCTCTGGTTTCACTTTCACAATTTCAGTTACCTGATCAGCCAGGGTCTGGAATCAGATGATCCTCCTGACATATTCTCAGAAGGTCAATACTAGCCTAACACATGCCTGCATCATTCACCTCACTACATCTTATCACTTAGGCATTTTATCATCTCACATCATCATCATAAAAAGAAGGGTGAGCACAGTATAATAAGATATTTTGAGAGAGAAAGAGACCACATTTACATAACTCTTATTACAATATAATTGTTCTATTTCATTATCAGTTATTGTTGTTAATCTCTTACTGTGCCTAATTTATAAATTAAATTTTATCATAGGTATGTATATATAGGAAAAAACAGTATATACGGGGTTTGGTACTATGCTTGGTTTCAGGCATCCACTGGGGGTCTTGGGACATATCCCCCTCAGATAAGGAGGGGCTACTGTACATAAAATTTACCATTTTAACCATTTCTAGGCTTACAGTTCAGTAGCATTAAATACTCTTGCATTATTATACAACCATTATCACCATCCATCTCCAGAATTTTTTTCATCTTCCCAGATTGAAAGTCTGTACCCATTAAACAGTAACTATCCATCCTCCCCTTTTCTTATCCCCTGGCAAACAACCACAGTCCTACTTTCTTTCTCTAAGAATTTGACGACTTTAGGTACCTCATTTAAGTTGAATCATAGAATATTTGTCCTGTTGTGTGAGGCTTATTTCATTCAGCATGCCTTCAAGGTTCATCCACATTGTAGTGTATGTTGGAATTTTCTCCCTTTATAAGGCTGAATAATATTCCATTGTATGTATATAGCACAATCTTTTAACCCATTCATCACTTGATGAACATCTGGATTGTTTCTACCTTTGGCTACTGTGAATAATGCTGCTGTGAACACTGATATAAAATATCTGGTCAAATCATTATTTTAAATTTTGGGGAGTATATACCCCAAAATTAAGTTGCTAGATCATATGCAAGTCTATGTTTAATTTTGGGGGGGAACCACCATCCTATTTTCCACAGTACCTGCACCACTTTATATGCCCACCAGTAATGCACAAATTTTCCCATTTTTATACATGCCTGCCAATACCTGTTTTCTGTTTTTGTTTTTTTAAAAAGGTGCAAAGTAGTATCTTATTGTGGTTTTGATTTGCATTTTTCTAATTACTAGGAAAAGTTGAGCAGCTTTTCATGTGCTCATTGGCCATCCTCATATATTCTCTGGAGAAGTATCTTAAGTTTTTGCCCCTTTTCAAAAGATCTGACTCTTGCCTGGGGATTATTTACCTTAGACTGATTGTATATTCTTATTTTCTTCTCTGTTTAGAAAAACTCATTTTTCTAAAGAGCTGACCCTCTATATTGAAATTCAGATTCAGCTATCAATTCTCTTATTCCTCAGTTACATAATTGTCATTAACATTTTTTTTAAGTCCAGAATTGCTCTAAAATTTCTTCTAAGTACTCAGTGCTTACCATCTCCTCCTTACTCGCTTCTCTAAGGAATTCTTCTTTTATTCTAGGCAGCTAGGTTGTTATGTCTCCTTTCTCATCCCAACTTAATATTTGAGTTGAATTCTATGTTCTGTAGGCTCCATTAGATATCTGATAGAGTTCTGTACTTAGCTATACTCATCATCTGTATGGAAAAAGTCAGCAGTATTTGGTATATCAGTTTATGAGACATCCTTCTCTTACATTGAAGTATGACCAATATAATGTTAATGTAAACAGTGGACCGTGTAAAAGATGTCATTCACCTTTTTTGTTTTGAACAACCTAAATTTCCAACAGTAGAGAATAATGGTGTTATTCATCTTAAATGAATTGAGGTATGTTCCTCTGGTGGCCTTAACGGTATCATTTAATTTTATGCCTATAAAAGTTTGTAAGATATTAGGGACGCCTGGGTGGATCAGTTGGTTAAGTGTCTGCCTTCGGCTCAGTTCATGATCCTGGGGTCCTGGGATCAAGCCTCTGCCTCTCCCTCTCCCTGCCCCCTGCTCATGCTCTCTCTCACTATCTCTCCCTCTCTCAAATAAATAAATAAAATCTTTTTAAAAATATCAAATAAAATATGTTAGTGAAGATTGTCTGTTCTGGAAGACTATAACTTTCAGAAACCATAGAAGACATGTATCAAAGGAAGACAAGCAGAAAATGCAAAAATCATTGATTGTGCTTATCTGCAGGTTTTAGGTTTGTATTACTGGTATTTGCCAGGCAGATAAAAGTGATAGGAATGGCAAAACAAGAGCTTAGAGCTATGAAAATCTCCGACCAGGTGTTTTGGGCTCATCAGTGAAGCTATTGAGGTTGTGGTCCAACGTGATCCATGAGTCAGTGTGTATCAGCCATTGACCTTTCTTGGTTGGATAGATCTTTATTCTTACACCTTTGTGATCATTTACTTAAATCCACTCATTAATGTTTATAAAACAATTTTTTTTTTGGTTAAAAAAAATCCACGGTTTAAAAAAAAATTGGTATTATTAGCCTGTACCCTTGCAGATATAAAGTTATCAGCGTTTGTTACTGCTTGCCACAGTATAAACCGTTAACTGAGAATGGTCTGTTTGTAGAGCCAGTTTTCCACTATCCGCTATCTGGTTTGAACGATATTATGTTCCTCATTTTATCACAAAGTACTAATGCATTTCTGTCTGTCTTCCTCTCAAGATGAAAGAAAATTTTGGCATCGGTTCCCCACCCTCCATACCCTCATCTGAAGGAGGCAGTCAACAAAGCAGATTTGATGATCTGGAAAATCTTAATTCATTAACAAAAAGCAGTCTGGATTTAGGTTTGTGGTCTTTGTTTCTCATAAACACAAATTAAATTATTTTGCAATCTCAGTTTTATTTTTACATACGATAACTCTTTACTGTCGTATTTTCATTCATTATGCTGCAAATTTAAGTCTGTTTATTAATCTGCTTCAGAATATCTGGAAGAATAAACATAGCTCATATGTCAATGGAGGGCTTTCAGATTCTGTTTTCTGAGAGGGCTGTATTTTCAGTGCCTGGTTCTGCTTTTTATGAGCAGTATGGATTAAAACTAAAACTAATACCTTACATGCTAAACCTGAAATAAGTCTCTGCTAATACATATTAAAATCTCTGGTGCTGTTAAGTGATACTGTTAGCTCATTGAATGGGGTTGTTAAATATTAATAAAGCAAGGCATATTTTAAACATTTATGAAACATTTTTATAGCCATATATTATGGTCAATTTTGGTGCATTAATAACTTAGTTTCCATTAAAGAATCCTAAAAGTATAGTGCCTCTCCTTGCCTACCCCAATATTGATTCTTACATAATTTTGAAAACTTGACTTTTAAAAATAATTTTTCTTCATCCAACACTGAAATATCAAAGGCTATTATATTATTAAGATCCCTAGGTGAGACAGTTAAGTTCTTTCACAGCACTGGGATTTATAGAGCCATTGTTGAAGATTTATGCTGTCCTTCACGTGTTACGACTCTGCTTATAAGGGAAAGTCTTTCTCTTTGGGCAGTTCTCATGTTGTATGGTAATACGTAGTAGGGCCAGAATGCACTATAGACGGTTTTATATTGGTTTCTATGAGTTCAGCATTCTGCTGAGTAAAATCTAAAGAATGGAATCTTTGGTGGTAAAGATTGAAGTCATCTGGGAGCGCCTGGGTGGCTCAGTTGGTTGAACGTCCAACTCTTGATTTCGGCTCAGGGTTGTGAAATCAAGCCCAGCGTTGGGCTCTGCTCTGAGTGTGTAGCCTGCTTCAGATTCTCTCTCTGCCCCTCCCCACCCCTTCTTGCTCACTCTCTCTCAAAAAAAACCAAACAAACATAAAAGATTGAAGTCATCTATGAGATGATTACAGTTGTCAATTCCCTGTAAGTCAAAACACAGCATGGATAGTTAATTTGGAATATCTAAGATTGGATGAGTTTATCCAGTTTTTCATCATAGATAACCAATTGTGACTAGGATGAAAATGGACTTTTTCCCCCACAACTGTCCCATGGTACTATTTTAAAAAATTTACCACATTTCTATAGTCCTCCCACTAAGTACTTGGAGAAGATTTATGGCACAAATGAATGAATTAACTGAATTAATAGGTCATGTCTGTTTGATTGCCATTGATACTTCATAGCAATGTCATTACTCTTTTGGGCCAGGCAATTCTTTGTTGTGGAGAGCTGACCTGTGCATGGTGGAATGTTTAGCAGCTTCCCTGCCTTCTAACCCTCGTGCCAGTGGTACTCTAATTCCCAGTCATGATCAAAATCAGATTTCCCCAGACACTGTCAAATGTCCCCTGGGGGGGGAAATTGCCCCTGGTTGAGACTCACTCACTGCGCTATACCATCAGGATTGAAAGGATAGACAGGCTAAATGGGATGGGTGTTGGTGGGGAGGAGCAGCAGAGTTGGGAAGAACACAGGGAAAATAGTCCCTCTTGAGCTCTGCTTTCTGTATTACCTAAGCGACTTCAAAGTTACCTCCTCTGACTTCTGCTACCTATGTAAGTTTCTTGGGACCGCTGTACCAGATTGGCACAAACTTGGTGGCTTAAAACAACAGAAATTCATTCTCTCACTCTGCTCAAGGCCTGAAGTCCTAAATCAAGGTGCTGTGCTCCCTCCAAAGGCCTGAAGGAAAAACCTGCTTTTTGCCTTTTCCAGCTTCTGGTGGCTCTAGCCTTTTAAGGCTCATGGTTGTATCACTGTGATGTCTGCCTCCGTCTTCACACAGCTGTCCTCTCTTTGCCCTGTGTCTTCTCTTCTTTGTCTCTTATGAGGACATCTGTCACTGGATTTAGGGCCCACGTGGGTAACCCAGGATGGTCTCATCTCACAATACTAACTGTATCTGCAAAGACTACCCCCCCCCCCCCCAACTAAGGTCACATTCATAGGTTCTGTGGTTGGGTATATCTTTTAGAGAGGTCCCCAATCTGCTCACTACACTGCCTTAACCTAATACTTTGCAAGGCCCTGGGACTTTATTTTTTAGAGATTATAGTTTCGGGAATGAAGTTAGACTTGTATATCTTAGATTTGTCCTCACTGGAAAAGCATTCATAACCACATGCTTTGAGGAAAAATTTTGAAAGCCTCTAGAATGCTGTGCAGCGGGCGTGACTATTTGGATTAATGCTAACCGTGGGTAGGCTGAGAAATTACTAATACAGAGTTGACACAGATTTGGGCTGTGTTTTCTAAGCCATCTTTCAAAATGAAAGACTTGGGCTAAGTGTTTTCTAAGCCATCTTTCAAATCTGTAACTCTTTGACTACTTTATTAGTAACAGACAATTTTAGATTTATCTCTGAATAATTAAATTTCTTTTTCTGAACAGTTAATTTAAAACTTATTTTTGAGAACCTTATGTGTAAAGGGCTATTCTTGACCCTGTAGTTAATCCAAAATTTTGTATCCTCGGGGCGCCTGGGTGGCTCAGTCGTTAAGCGTCTGCCTTCGGCTCAGGTCATGATCCCAGGGTCCTGGGATCGAGCCCCACATCGGGCTCCCTGCTCAGCAGGAAGCCTGCTTCTCCCTCTCCCACTCCCCCTGCTTGTGTTCCCTCTCTCTCTGTCAAATAAATAAACAAAATCTTTAAAAAAAAAAAAAATTGTATCCTCTAAGAGCCTCTACTCTTCTTGGGCTGTGAAACTAAACCTATAAATTAGCATAATTAATAAGATGAAGCATACAAGATAAATTCCAAGTCAATAATACATTTAGTGTTACAAGTTTTCAGAAGGTTTCAGATAGAAAGTAGTTCTGTTTCCTGATGTTTGACTGCCCCTGCCTGGATGGTACCTCCAGGGAACCCTGGATGAGTCTCTATCATTGCACCCAAGAGTGGGCTTATATCTGATTGTGTTACCTTAGCAGGTGCTCAAGAAATATTTGTTGAATAAGAAAGTGAAATGCTACTTAATGTGTGGTTATTCAACAGCCCTCCTTCCCCCGCCCCCACACCACCCGCAGTGGCCAGGTTATACAATAACCCACCCTCCTCTCTACTGAGATTCTTCTTGCCTTTATTTTATTGACCATTTTGTTCTTGCACCTCACCAAGTATAAACCTTTTGAAAAGTTCCCCCATTCCTCTCCTATAAACATTAACCTCCATTTGTCCAGGAGGAACCTTTTTTTTTTTTTAACTTTTTTGTTTTTCTAACCTTTGTGTGCCTGTATGACCCTTACCCAACACCTGCATAGGCTCTGGAGGACTCGATTTGTTTTATGGGCTCTGGGTACTGCAATGCACTTGGTGAGCAGCTCTGTAAAGTGTGAGTGTGTCAAGCACCGTGACAGATGAGAAATGTGTGCCTGAGCCCCCGCACCAAGGGTCCGTTGGAGGAGGAGTGGGGCAGAGGGCACGGGCAGCCTTTGTGCGGAACAGGTAATGAAAAGTTTTAAATGGACTACAGCAACCTCTGAAACCCAATGCCGTAATTTAACAGGCCACTCTTACCAGCATGGGTGGGTGGGAAACCGCTCTGCAAATAGAGCCGGTTCCCTCTTCCTAACACTGGTGTTTGGCCCTTCTGGCCAGAGTTTGGCCCCACCCCTCGTCTCTCAGTGGGAAGGAGGAAGCCATAGGCAAAGCTAGAACTCCGAGGCGGTGATAGGGAGTACAGTGCTTTGCAGGAATGTCGGTCCCTGTGGACAGGAGTAGAAGGGTACACGGGGATGGAGGACAGGCACCTGAGACGTCCTATAATACCGCCTGAGCATTACAGTTACTTTCACCCCCTCTGCAGGTTCTGTTGCAGTACCAACTGATTAGGTCCTGATTCCAAAGTTTCTAGACAAGATAAAAAGCAGTAGTAGTGGGTTTGCAGAAGATTTGTTCGTTAGGAAGAAACGGAAAGAGTTCAGGTCGTGTTTATAGGAAAAATTTTAGGATAATTTATCTCTTAAAAATCATTTCTGATTTTCTAAAAAGCCAGAGCTCCAAAAAATACTATAAATGTATGGAGTCAAGGGAGGCATTTGATCACAATTCGTAATATTTGTCTAACACGCTGAAGAAAGAGTGGCTGAGAATTTCTAATCGATTACTGGGGTGTATCCTAAGGGTGATTAATGGGCCTATGCCATATGGACACAGGTCCCTAACTATGTGTCCTAGGACTCTATGCACAACTCTGCCCTAGTCTTTTTTTCAGTAAATCGGGAAACGTCACAGATGGCATGTCAGGTAAATTTGCACATTCCAGTTGGCAAAATGCCTTAACCTGAGTTTCTCCATCTATAAAATATGGTTGCTAGTATCTTTTCTCTCTAACTCATAGTTTGATATGAAAATCAAATGAGGTAAACAAATGTAAATGAATTCTGAAATTCATAAACAAAGCCCTGTTAAAAATGTGTTTTCTTAACAAGCACTGGGTGATGTATGCAGTTGTCGAATCACTATATCGTACACCAGAACCTAATGTAACGCTGTGTGTTAACTATACTGAAATTAAAATTAAAAAAAATTTAGGGGCGCCTGGGTGGCTCAGTCGTTAAGCATCTGCCTTCGGCTCAGGTCATGATCCCAGGGTCCTGGGATCAAGCCCCACATCGGGCTCCCTGCACCGCAGGAAGCCTGCTTCTCCCTCTCCCACTCTCCCTGCTTGTGTTCCCTTTCTCGCTGTGTCTCTGTCAAATAAATAAAATCTTAAAAAAAAAAAAAATCAGGGCGCCTGGGTGGCTCAGATGGTTAAGCGTCTGCCTTCGGCTCGGGTCATGATCCCAGGGTCCTGGGATCGAGTCCCACATCGGGCTCCCTGCTCCGCGGAAAGCCTGCTTCTCGCTCTCCCACTCCCCCTGCTTGTGTTCCCTCTCTCGCTGTGTCTCTCTCTGTCAAATAAATAAATAAAATCTCAAAAAAAAAATTTTTTTTTAATGTAAATGTTTTTATTTGGTTATTTGTTATTCTGTGGAATTTTTTTTAAATAAGGGAAATGTAGGAGTGCCTGCAGTTGGGACAGCTTAGGTTAATAAGGGAAAATGTGTAGTGAGATGAGAATAAAATCATTAAGGGGGTTCTTCTGATAAAATATTTCTATTGCTAAAATGTCATCTTTTCCGTGAGGCCATATGTAAAATTGTAACTCTTCCACTGAGCAGTCCCTATCCCCCTTTCTTGCTTCATTTTTTTACCATACTACTTGTCACCATATGACATATTAAACATTTTACTTATTTAGTTTAATATAAGTAAGATTTCTACCTTGAAGGGTCTGCCCCTATTAGATGCCCATAACTATTTATTAAACAGGTGAAGGATGAATAAAAGCATCTTGTATTCACTATTATCTGGGTTTGCTCTTTAGGCGTGATGATTCCAAATGATATCCAAGGCCCTGGCTTGCTTGTTGAACTCCCTGCTGTGGCTCAAAGAATGGAGCAAGATTTGCCCTTATACCAACTCCCCAGGACCCGAGTTGTTTCCAAGGCCTCGGCATACATAGGAACATCATCTAGATATACCACTGATGCCTGGTATGATACCATTTATCTTTGTTTTCACATTATAAAGTAGTTTTCTTTTTGCTCTTATTTAAAAAAAAGCATGATTATGGTGGAACATTTGGAAAATACAGAAAATATGAATAAAACTGAATATTAGACAATTACTATGAGAATTTCACATACTTAAAATAGAAGCATATATACAATTTTGTATTCTTGCAGTTGTGTGGAAAACGATTACATAGAATATTTGCTTAGAGAATAAGAGTTTAATTGTTTAACAATGTAAGCAAGACATACAGACAGATTAAGGAGGGAATGGATTCAAGAGTTAGAGAATTTGCTGGAATTGGTGACTGATAACGTGTCAGGGTGAGAAGACAGTTGAGGATGACTTATGTTTCTGGACTGGGACAATAAATGAATTGTGGCACCATTAATTCTTTCATATATGATTGTAGGAGCAAAGGAAGCAACTTAAGTGTACATTGGTAGATGAATGGATAAAGAAGGTGTGGTATTGGGGTACTGGGTGGCTCAGTCAGTTAAACATCTGACTTTGGTTCAGGTCATGATCTCAGGGTTCTGGGATCAAGCCCCATGTCAGGCTCTCTGCTCAGCAAGGAGTCTGCTTCTCCCTCTCCTCCTGTGCTCACTCGCTCGCTCTCAAATAAATAAATAAAATCTTAAAAAAATAAAAAACGTGGTATATATGCAACGGAATATTATTCAGTGAGAAAAAAGAATGAAATATTGCCATTCTCAACAGCATAGACAGACATAGAGGATATTATGCTAAATGAGATAGGTCAGATAGTGAAAGACAAATACCATATGATTTCACTTATATGTGGTATCTAAAAAAGAAACCACACGAACAAATGAACAAACAGAAACTGGCTCATAAACAGAACAAACTGGTAGTTGCCAGATGGGAGGGGGAAGAGGGATGAGCGGAATAAGTGAAGGGGATTAAGAGGCACATGCTTCAAGTTATAAATAAGTTATGGGGATAAGTGCAGCATAAGGAATACAGTTGATAATATTATAATTTCATGGTGACAGATGGTAGCTAGACTTATCATGGTGAGCTTTTCACTATGTATAGAACTGTCAAATCACTATGTTGTACACCTGAAACTAATCAAACATCGTATATTATACTTCAGTTTAAAAAAAAAATTATAGGAGCATGAACAGGTTGGAAGGGAAAATGAATTTGGTTTGGGACATGTTGAGGGTTCCACAAAGTGAAGTGGAATCAATTAGGTGTGTGATTCTGGGGTTTAATGTTGAGGTCTATCCTTATGTGGATAATTGGGAGCAAGATCACATGTATGTGAAACTGCTGGATTTGAATAGTCGTCATCCAGGGTAAGCTCAAATAGGAAGAGCATAAGGCCAGAATTATAGTCCTGCAAAACAGCATTGTTATAGGTATGAATGAGGAAGAAAATAGTGGAGTCGAATGAATGAACAAAACGTTGGAGGAAATTGATGAGCCCAGAGAAAGTCATAGGGGCACCTGGGTGGCTCAGTCATTAAGCGTCTGCCTTTGGCTAAGGTTGTGATCCCAGGGTCCTGGGATCGAGCCCTGCATTGGGCTCCCTGCTCCTCGGGAAGGCTGCTTCTCCCTCTCCCACTCCCCCTGCTTGTGTTCCCTCTCTCGCTGTGTCTCCCTCTGTTAAATAAATGAGGTAAAGGAGAAGGAGTTACACATATATAACTACATGTATATCTGTGTGTGTGTGTCTGTCTCTCTGTCTTTCTGGGATAGATCCAGCAAATGAATATGTCGATGCTAGAAAGATGGTGATTAAACACGGTCCCTGGCGAGGGTGAAGGGAGAGAAGGACATTGCACACCTAGAAGATGAGCCTTTGGTGGTTTGATGGGAGGAAGTTTACCTCCTCCACAGAGACAGGTGCCAGGAATGAAAAGGAAAGTACAAATACAAGTGCTATTTTGTTTCTTATGGGCAGGAATCCCAAGAGATATTTTATTTTTTATATTTTTTGTCATTTAGGTAAAGGTTATTTTAAAACAGGGATGAGGTGGTAGTAATGTGGGCATTAAAAGGAGAGGTGTCTGAGTAGGGATTCACTTTTGAAACAACGGTAGGAGAGTAATGGCTTAGTGGAAGGGAGTTTAGAAAAATCTTGGCGCCCCCCTCCCCCCCGCCCTTTTCCAACTTCCCAGAGCAAGGGAATGAGCATCACTCCCTTGAGCATGGTATCTGTGGCAGAGAACCAGAAGCTGTAGAGAGAACAGAAGAGGTTGAGAGAACATTCGGTGAAGAGGTCAGGGTGTGGAGTAGTTTCTTGACAACTCAAGGAGATTCCATGGAGTGTGATGGGTAGTTTGGCTGGAGGGTCTTGGGGGTGAGTCTGGGAATGGAAGCAAGGAGAAACCAGAGAATCAGGGAAGAAAGGAGTTGGTGGCCAAGCATAACAGGGATGAGAGATAGGGTGGATTTATTGGCATTCATGTTTTTATTAAAACTTTAGTCCAAGTATGTTGATATATGAAGTGTCTTAGAATGATAGCACTTCTCGGTTCAGCAACCTCGTGACCTTTGCCTATAGTTTTAGATAGAAACTTCATATCACAAACAGTTGGTCTCTGGGCTTCAGCATAGCTCCTCTCTGAGTGGAAAGGAAAGACTCAGATCGGCTCAACTACTTGAAGGAATTCGGTGGCTTTTTATTCAGCAGAACTGGACCAGTGTGCAGAGGGGAGGTGCTGACAGGTCCTACATCCTGGTGCGAGTGATGTAACCAGCTCCCAGGGAAACACATAGTCTTAAACAGGCAGCGGGTTTGTTTCTTTAGGAGAGATGCCTGGAGGTGGAAGTACCGGAAGGCTTAGGAATATAATTTTATGACTTCTTAAAAATTAAAAATTTTTAAAATTTTTTATTGTTATGTTAATCACCATACATTACATCATTAGTTTTTTTTTTTTAAAGATTTTATTTATTTGAGACAGAGAGAATGAGAGACAGAGAGCATGAGAGGGAGGAGGGTCAGAGGGAGAAGCAGACTTCCTGCCGAGCAGGGAGCCCGATGCGGAACTCGATCCCGGGACTCCAGGATCATGACCTGAGCTGAAGGCAGTCGCTTAACCAACTGAGCCACCAGGCGCCCTTTGTTTTGTTTTTAATATTCAACTTGAAGGGGGCCAGTGGTGCAATGGATAATGTGTCTGTGGATCAGAATATTTATTCAGTTTATTTAAACTAAAAACAAAACAAAAACAGTTATTTCTCCTGCCTTTCACCCCCTGCCTCTTGAAACTACCAATGTATTCTCTGTATCTATGAGCTTGGTTTTTTGGTTCTTGTTTGTTTTAGATTCCACATATAAGAGAGATCATGTGGTGTTTGTCTTTCTGTCTGATTTATTTCACTTACCATAATACCCTCAAGTTCCATCCATGTAGTCTCAAAGGCAAGATTTCATTCTTTTATGGCTGTATAATAATCTAGTGTGTGTGTACACATACATATACATCATGATTATCTATCAATGGATTGTTTCTGTATCTTGACTGCCATAAATAATGCTGCAATGAACATGGGGGTGCATATATCTTTCACATAAGTGTTTTCATTTTTTTTTAGGTAAATACCCAGAAGTGATATTGCTGGATCATACAGTAGTTGTATTTTAAAATTTTTGAGGAACCTCCATACTTTTTCCAATTTACCTTTCCAACAACAGTGTACAGGAGTTCCCTTTTCTCCATATCTTTGCCAACCAACACTTGTTATGTCTTGTTTTTTGTTTTGTTTTTTTTGATAATAGCCATTCTAACAGTGTGAAGTGATACCTCATTATGGTTTTGTTTTTTTTTTTTGAAGATTTTATTTATTTATTAGACAAAGAGAGAGCACAAGCAGGAGGAGCAGCAGAGGAAGAGGGAGAAGCAGGCTTCCCGTGGAGCAAGGAGCCCGATGCAGGGCTTGATCCCAGGACCTTGGGATCATGACCTGAGCCAAAGGCAGACACTACCAACTGAGCCACCCAAGCGCCCCACCTCATTATGGTTTTGATTTGCACTTCTCTGCTGATTCATGATGTTAAGCGTATTTTCATGTACCTGTTGGTCATCTGTATGTCTTCTTTGAAAAAAATGTCTATTCAGATCTTCTGCCCATTTTTTCATTGGATTGTTTTTTGGTATTGAGTTGTATGAATTCTTTATATATTTTGGATTTTAGTCCCTTATCAGATAGATGATTTGCAGTTATTTTATCCCATTCAGTAGGTTGCCATTTCATTTTGTGTATGGTTTCCTTTGCTGTGCAGAAGAAGCTTTTTAGTTTGTAGTCCCACTTGTTTATTTTTGCTTTTGTTGCCTTCATTGTTGATGTCAGATTAAAAAAAATAATTACTAAGACCTATGCCAAGGAGTTCACCACCTAGGTTTTCTTCTAGGAATTTTATGGTTTCAGGCCTTACATTCAAGTCTTTAATCCATTTTGAATTAATTTTTGTGTATGCTGTAAGATAGCAGTCCAGTTTCATTTTTTTTGTATGTGGCTGTCCAATTTTCCTTACACCATTTGTTAAAGAGATCATCCTTTCACCACTGTATGTTCTTGGCTCCTTTGTTGTAAATTAATTGATGATCTATGTTTTGGTTTATTTCTGGGCTCTCTATTCCATTGATCTATGGTCTCTTTTTATGCCAATACCATACTATTTTAATTACTATAGCTTTGTAATATAGTTTGAAATCTGGAAGCATGTTGCCTTCCAGCTTTGTTCTTTCTCAAGATTGCTTTAGTTCTTCTGGGTCTTTGTAGTTTCATAGAAGTTTTAGGACTGTTTGTTCTGTTTCTGTGAAAAATACCATTGGAATTCTGATAGTAGTTGCATTGAATCCGTATATTATTTAGGATAGTACAGACATATTTATGATAATATTTTTTCTAATCCATGAGCATGGGATATCTTTCCATTTATTTGTGTCATCTTCAATTTCTTTCATTAGTATCTTGTAGTTTTCAGTATGCAGGTCTTTCA